CCCGCCCCTATCACGTGAAAGCGCGCGCCTCTCTTCCGGCTTTCCTGACCCGCTCCGCCATTTAAAGAAACAGTACCGGGGGCGGGCCGAGCGACGCAGCCGGGACGGTAGCTGCGGCGCAGACCGGAGGAGCCATCTTGTCTCGTCGCTGGGGAGTCAGGTCCCTAACTCGAAGAAACCCTGGCGCGTCCTCCCCCCCTCCCCGGTCTGGTAGGGCGAAGGAGCGGGCGCGCGGTCGATCGAGCGATCGGTTGGCGGCTCTTTCTCCTGCTCTGGCATCCAGCTCTTGGGGCGCAGGCCCGGCCGCCCCGGCGCGCGGCCCGGGTTGGCGCTCGCGCCGCGTCTTTCTTCTCGTACGCAGAACTCGGGCGGCGGCCTATGCGTTTGCGATTCGACGAGGAGTCGTCCGGGTGGTCGGTGGTGGTGGGCAGCTGCTCCGCCCCGCTCCTGGGGAGGCGGCGGCGGCGGGATTTGGCGCGGCCGGGGAGGCGGGGGTGGCCGGGGCTGGTCTGGAGGCCTGGCGTCACCCTTCGGGGCCTGCGAGGACCCAGTTGGGGGGGCAGGAAGGTGCTGGAGGATGGTTGTTGCGATTCGACGAGGAGTCGTCCGGGTGGTCGGTGGTGGTGGGCAGCTGCTCCGCCCCGCTCCTGGGGAGGCGGCGGCGGCGGGATTTGGCGCGGCCGGGGAGGCGGGGGTGGCCGGGGCTGGTCTGGAGGCCTGGCGTCACCCTTCGGGGCCTGCGAGGACCCAGTTGGGGGGGCAGGAAGGTGCTGGAGGATGGTTGGTGGTGGGATTTCTACTTTGCCTTTTCCTTCTTATGCCGCCTTAGTGAGGGGCGGGAGCTCTGGCCGCAGCTCTGGGATGGAGTGGAGAGAGGAGCTCCAGAGGCGGAAGAGCTGGGTTTGTTTCTGGGCCTAGCTACCAGCTGGCCCAGTGACCTTAGGCAAGTCACTCAGTAATTGTCTGAGCCTCAGTTTCCTCCTCTGTCCATCAGTGTGTATCGAGTTGAGAGCGCTTTGTGAAAAGCGTCAGCGTATGTAAAAGATGATTGTCATTTGTAATGTTTTTGGTTGTAAGGAAACTTAGCAGTTGCCCAGTCCTTGGATTTTGAACCCAAGAACCTTGGATTGGAGTTGGAAACCCCCAAACTCCCTGAAATTGAGTGCAGAAATTTATGAGAATGTCGATTTTAGGGAACGATGACGCTTCGCTAGCAAATTTTCAAAGGGGCCTGTAACGTAGAAGAGTTAAGAGCCACGATTCATTTATGCACAGGGAGGAAACTGACGCCTAGATGTCATTTGGGAACCTTCATAACCATTTTGAAGCCCCTATTTGAGTCCCTGGGATATGTGAGCTGTTTTCTATGCATAATGGATATTCGGGGTAACAACACTCCCCTGCTTGGTTTCTGTTCTGAATCCTTTCCTTTCACCATAGGGTGCCTGAAGGGTGGCTGATGCATATGGTACAGTGGCACCCAATGTGAAGCAGCTACAGGCGGGGACATGGTCTCTAGTATTAAGAAGCCTATTTAATCTTTGGCCCAGCAATCCTTGGTTTTCTGCTGCTGATACTGGTGCCTGACTACATTTCTGACTCACGTTGACCGTTTTCCGTGGCCATGGTTGCCATCCGTTACTTGCTCCTACTTTGTATCCCTAGTCTGTGTGGTTGCTAGTGAACAGGCTTATTTTTAAATGGTGCTGCCACGCCCAGCTAATTAAAATGGTGCATGTGGATTTTTAGCAAGCGGGCTCACTGGAACGAACTGAACCAGACATGAAATTTGTGAAGATACTCATTTTGTCGTTTTTGTTTTTAAATAGAAGGTCAACATGCTTTGAAAAGTTTTGTTAGAACTCCTG